ATCAGTCAATGTTTCTCCCTCATTAATTAGAAGTAATACTGTTTCTCCCAGGAATATTTCCAGTTTGATTCAGTATAACGTGAGAAGGATTATGACCTCTGACTTATAGTTCTAGCATGCAGATCCTATCATTAGGTTTGTCAGGTGCAATAGTTATGAGTAAGTAACAACAGCAACATGCCCAGTGTGATCCCACAAGTGGGGCCAAAGAGTATAGAGTGTACACAGACCTTACCCCTACCTTGGGAGGTAGAGAGGTTGCTTCCCATAGACCCTCAGCTCAAAGGAAGGTGTATCAAAGCAGATTGAAAAAGAAATAACGGAAGTGAAGAAATCATGGCAAAATACTATTAAAAAAAAAGCATGGCAATCGTTACAAGTAAATTCAATAATTTTACTGATGTTCAAGCTCTCAGTCGTTGTGCTTCACTTGTCTGGTAAACCCAGAATAAGACTTCATCTCATCAAGAATTTGAACTGTGAAGCATAAAATGAAACTGCACGTCAGGACCAGAAGAAAACTTACTGTAACCGTTCTGCTGCATCATATATACCCATGTTTTCTGTGCTGGTATTGTCAATTTGTAGGATGATATCACCAGATGAGATGCCAGCCCTATTTGCAGGACCTCCTGGAGAAGCTGAGATAACGACCAGTCCAGAGGCCGATTCATTTTTCCCCAATGGATAGCCAATTGACAACCCTACTCCAGTAAGTGCATTTTGAGTTCCCGACTGCCTTCAAAAAACATATGAAGAGATCTGTTTAGGAAGCAAATTTTCAATCAATCGTGGTGGAGTTAACTCACCAGCTAATAAGACAAGAGAAAACAAGAACCATACCCGCAAACTTTTGAACTTTTCAGGCTCCAGAAAACGGGTGAAAGGGTCATTCAGAGTGGCGAGCATCTTTTTTATTGCTGCATCTGGAGACAGTGTAGTGCAATGATTTAACAATATGTATTTAAGGGATGGAAAACTACAGCTGTAGCTGAGACAAGTCATTTCATACTTCCAGACAAGTTTAAAGCTTCAAGGCTGGTTATTGGAATCTGTACGTTTCTATGACTATATATATTGATAAACAGAGTTTCCTGCCACAAATGGCATGGTTCCATAAAATAGATGAGGTTGCTTAAAGCACACATCAATCAAAAATTCAGAACTCAAGATACAAACTATTAGTCCATCATGCAGGTGAGCTTGACCAAAAGGTATATCAACAGACTGATGGGCACAATATAGCATCTTGTCGGCAAAAAGAAAATAGAAAAATGTGCCGGGTACTATTTGCTAACTTGCATCTTGTTATACATGTATGTAAGATTAACTAATACATTTTCCCTTCTATATAGATTGCACACTCTAGTCCTCTACCTACTCGGAATAATGTTTTCTTCTTTTTCAATCAAAGCTTAAACGCAGATGCATAGCAGATCATTTCTTCCCCGAGTATTCTGCAAAACTTCATGCAGATAATCACTAACAGACCATCCAAAAAAAGGGCAAGACTTACATGTTTCCTGCCTTGTGTTCATTGGTTCATTTCGTAGAGCGTCTTCTCGGTACCTAAACCAACTTTGACCATTGAAGGTCTTGTCAATATATGCACGGTCAATTGTTCTCCATGCCTCCAAGAAAAGTAGATTTTCTTCAGTGAGAGCAACTGTAAAATGGGAAGAAAATAGGAATTTCATTACTTATATTTGAATAATTGAGTCTTACAACATGGAAAAGCTTGACATGATCCATCAAACTGACAGACTTACAAGAAGGCGCTTTGACAACAGCAGCATTGACAGCCATAACCAGCATTAGTCCTATGCAGGACCGAACAAATATCTCAGGTACTATACTCTTACAAAGTTCAGAATGCTTTAATGTTTTGCGGAGACTGGATTTGAATTTTCTTGGTATAAAAGCTAAGCCATTTTGTATAACCAGCAAACTTTGCTTATCTATGAATATTTTTCTACACCTCCGGATTGGCTGAGAAAACATTCTGTTTCTGTACATTTGCTCAATGTAGCATGAAGGAGAGCAACTTCCAGAGTTGTCATTGCCACTTCTTTTCAGACACAATATAGGATGATATACTCGAGATTTATTACTTCCGCTGTACAAAGAATTCCATGAAAGCACCTGCAGAATGTTTATTGATTAAGTCTACTTGACTATCTATATCGTGTAAATTTTGCACTTTTGCACCAAAAACACAAAGACAAAGAGAAAGACGAGTAGCTTTTAGTTTGGAGATGCTTTACTTCTTGTTTACAGAACGAACATGTTAATTTTGTTCCTTCTAGATGGTCCACCACATACAAGCAAGAATAATTCCTCATGATCATTTCTTTGCCTTCCAGCTCCTTTAAAATTAACTAAAGGGAAAAGGTTAAATTTTCCCGATTACTATCTAAAATTGAGCAACTTTTGCCTCTATAAACTTTTGGTCTATTTTACCCCCTCCGCTGTGAAGCAGTCTTATTTTTACCCTTGACCCGTACTAATGAAGCTCCAAAGTAAGGTTGATGGATAAATTTGGACATTTTTTCTCAAAAATTTGGACACGTAGAGTCCACCAATTTTACGCTGGAGTTCCATTAACAAAAAGGAAAACTACGTGGTGATTTGTTAACAACAAGAATATGAATGAACCAAAAGTGTGACAGAGGCAACATTGAGTGATTTAAATAGTACAGGGATAAATTTGGACCTTCCCCCTTTAATTAAATCATAATGTTTAAAAGTATATGCTTTTTGGTCTTAAAAGACCAATTATGTACCAGTACTGCAATGAAATAGCATGAATAGAGTGGAAAGGATATAGCGGAACCATGTTGCCTGCACCAACTAGTTTGGGGCTGACTCATATGACTGAACGAAGGAGTCAATTTTTTACCTCTCTGATTCAAGCCTCTCAAATAATGTTCGGATCTTTCAATTTCTACCTTTTCTTTCATTTGACACACTAAATATCGTGAGATTATCATCAAATGAAAAACAATGTAAAGTTTCAATCTTAACTCGAATTACTGGCTCTGTGAAAACTTTAAAATACATAAGTACTTGTTTACTATATAAGTTTAAACAAGGATTTCCATGTTTCACAATTGAGAAAACAGACTGCTTAAATAATGAACTCTTCTAGTTTTAAACTTTTAATCTATACTACACTCTTTCCCTTTCAAGAATTCAAAAATAGTACACACAATTCAGTCATTAAAATTATTTAATCCAGGCCAGCTAGTGCAAATCTTCATTATTCCTCCAGAGTTAGGCAGATGTACAGAAATCACTATATTTTCTCCTGTCCTAAACTTATTTTACACTTCAATACTTTTCTAAGCAAACTAAAACTATCTAAGCTAATTAATATCTTCTTCTACTACTATTCATCTTGAGACAAGGGTTTATCGGAAACAACCTCTCTACCCCTGAGGTAGGGACAAGGTACGGAGCCAAGTAGGATCAAGGGCTTCATCCGAACCCCCTTTTATGGAGAATCATACTGTTTATTACATGGTTAAAATTATCTTTTATATATATAAAGTAGATGGTGAACCCCTTGATGAAAATTGCAACTCCGTCACTAGGTAGGGGTAAAGTCTACGTACACTCTACCCTCCCCATAGACTACACTAGATATGTTCTTGTTGTTGAATTCTACTACCATTCATACTACACAATACCATATTAGTACTATTTCAAACTCCAGTCAAACACCGTCACATAAATTGAACCATCAGGAAACTTATGAAATCAAGAACACCAACTAAAATAACAAATAGTAAATATGAAATATTAGGGAATTTGTCCACTTGAACAAATGGGGTTATTTCAAGAACCATAAAAAAAAACTTCAAAATTTCCAATTTTCACATACCTTAAAAGAAATAATGGGGTTTCTTCTACTACCATTCATACTACACAAAAATCAAATTAGAACTATTTCAATCTCAATTTCCAGTCAAACACAATCACATAAATTGAAACATCGAGAAATTAATGAAATCAAGAACACCAACTAAAACAACAACTAGTAATATGAAATGGAATTTGCCCACTTGACCAAATGGGGTTATTTCAAAAACCATAAAAAACTAAACTTTCCCATTTTTTCACATACCTTAAAAGAAGTAATGGGGTTTCTTCTGATGATGGTGAATGAAGGAGAATTCGAACTTCCCAGTAGAGCTTCCATTGCTAGCTCAGAAATGAAACGAAACGATTTCAGTCGGTAGCCAAATTTCAGCCACAAAAAATTCTTTTCAATTCTGTTTATTATCGTTTTTCTTCTTCTTTTAAAAAGCTTCCGGATGAGTTTTTATTATTATTCGTTTTCTTATTGACTCGAATTCATAATCCGTAATTGAAATTGAGTGGTATTTTATCATTCGAGAAAAGTCGAACACCCAATTTTTCATTTGATATTTTGTGTTGGATATCTATTTAAATTTGAGATAAGGGTTTTGTATCGATTTTAAAAATAATTAATTATCTATTTGAGAATATGTTAAACTGTTAGAATATTAATTTATCGTTTATTGATTATTATTGATTCGATTATCAATTTAATCATTAATATATCCCTAAAAAAATAGTAGAAAGTGTATTAAAGATATACATAAATTTCGATTGAGAAAATATATGTATAACAATTAAAAAAAAAAAAACTCTCCACTCTTTATCTTCCTTTTCTTTTCTTCTTTTTTGATAAAAATCTAATTTGATTATAGAGTTTTTCATGGCTTGTCATCAGAGTACAAATCAAGAAATTAATTTCATTTGGACCTTTGAATATTTATTCAAATATAATAAATAATAGTGAATGAAAAGATTATTAATTATATAATTCAATTTATTTGAAAAAGTATTTTCAAAAAATGAATTACAATACTGTAATTCTATACTCCTTTTGATGAAAAAGTATGTATATTTAATTTTAGAATGACTAATCAATTTAAAAAATAATTATAAGCAGCAATAATCTTTCATCAATATTCCTAAAAAACATATTAAAATGTACTTTTTACAAATTATAACAAATCTACTTGTAGAACGTGATGGAATGTTTCATCCATCACAAAAAAGTGGTAACAAGCAGAGGCCCACCCAATGTTAGATCTCTTTCACATACAGTAAGTACTATTGGTAGCTGTAAATGAAGTTTCGAAAATTTATTGATGATCCCTCCTTCTCAACCACTTGCATTCACTTTCTGTCTAGTATTTAGCAATGCTGAATGAATCCACTTTCTATTCATCTTTTGAAAAGTACCACTTTTTCTTTCACTAAGGCTTTAGCAATATTCTTCAAACAATGTCTCATGCTTCTTCTTCCAAAGTTTGCAAGTACGATATCTTTTTGAGTTTTGGAGGTGAGGATACCCGTAGAACCTTTGTGAGTCATCTCTATAATGCTTTGGAACAGAGAGGAATCCATGCTTTCAAAGACGATGAACGGTTGGAGGCAGGACAATCAATTTCTGCTGAACTTTTAAGAGCCATAGAAGACGCCAGATTCGCTGTCGTGGTATTTTCAAAAAGCTATGCATCCTCAAGATGGTGTTTAGAGGAGCTTGCACACATCATAAAGTGTAAAAATGAATTGGAGCAGAATGTGATTCCAGTATTCTATGATGTTAGTCCAGCAGATGTACGCCATCAAAATTCCCCTTTCGCGGATTCATTTTTCCAACACGAGGTAAAATACAAAGATGATATGGAGAAGGTTCAAAGATGGAGAGGTGCATTTGCGGAGGCAGGCAATATATCAGGCTATCATTTACTAAATTTCAAGTAAGCTTTATATTTTTTACGGTTTCTCTCTATCAAGAGCGAAAAGGAACAAACTTTTAGCTACAATTCCACACAATCATCAGCTATACTTTTACTGAAAAAGGAAAATCGAGACGTATGTGGTTGTTTGATGATTTTAAAACGTTATAATTCATAATAGTTTATTTAAACTACCTTTGTAACATTTATTTACTCTGAGATTATTTTCCATTATATTGTAGAGATGAGGCTGAGTGCGTCAAGAAACTTGTTGATGACATATTTCCTAAGTCACTTCAAATTATTTCACCTTTTCCGGAAAGCTTAGTGGGTATGAGATCTCAGGTTGAGGAAGTAATCGAATTATTAAGTATGGAATCAAATGATGCTCGCTCTATTGGTATTAGTGGTATGGGTGGCATCGGCAAATCAGAACTTGCACGTGTTCTGTATGAAAGATACCGCCATCTATTTGAAGCTGATTGTTTTCTTGGTGATGTTGGAGAACTTCACCAGAAAAATGGACAAGCATGGCTGGCACAAGTCGTCATTCGCAAGCTCTTGGGTGAAAAGATGAGTGTAACCAGTGAACATGAAGGGATGATTATTTTAAAGAATAGGCTTCGCTGGAAGAAAGTTTTGTTCATTCTCGATGATGTAAACCATCGAGAACAGTTGGAATTTTTAGTTGGAGGGACAGAGTGGTTTGGAATGGGTAGCAGAATTATTTTAAATCAAGAGACAAGAACCTGTTGATCAGTCACGTCGGGGATAACGTGTATGAAGTCCAACTATTATCCGAGGTTGAAGCACTTGAATTGTTCAGTAGGCATGCTTTTAGAGAAAAAACACCAAAAGAAGATTTTATTGAACTTTCGAGAGAAGTGGTGAAACATGCTGGTGGACTCCCGTTAGCTCTTAAACTTTTGGGTTCTTCATTTTACAGACGAGACAAAAAGCACTGGAGACACATAATTGATCGGCTGAAGAGAATCCCTCACAAGGATATTCTAGGAAAGCTTAGGCTTAGTTTTGATGGTCTTGACAAAGATGAGAAGGAATTATTTCTAGATATTACATTTCTAAATATTGCATTTCTGGATATGGACTACTGGGCTAGATCTGATTTCGATCTTTATCTGGAACTATTACAGAGAGACCCGAATCGTGGTTTTCTAATAGATTACCTTATGGAAAAATCTCTGTTATCCATCACTTTGAATAATAGAATTGTGATGCATAATATGATAAGAGAAATGGGAGAAAATGTCATAAGGGAAGAGTATGCTAACAGCAGAATATGGCTTCCCGAGGAAATTTGTGACCTTTTTGATGGGAAGTTGGTAAGCAATATTTAGCTTGATTGATAATTTCGTTAGCTCATAGTTCTATTGTTCTTTTTTGTTTCATTTTTCTTTGTTAGCAATTAAATATACGTTTCGATATTCTTCTCAGATAACAGAAAAGGTGGAAAGCCTACATATCCCAAAATATTCCTATTTTGAAGAGAATCTTGTTGATTATAGCAATATTTTCAAGGTGATGCAAAGCTTACAAATACTCATAATTGGCGATGGAACTTTTAGCTCAAACTGCGCAATTACTTATCTTCCTTCCAGCCTGCGGTTTATTGATTGGACAGGGTATCCTTCAATTTCATTGCCAGAGAGCTTTGAACCATCACAGCTCGTTATGCTTCGTTTACGTGAAAGTTGTCTTGTTGAAGTTTTGCCAATATCAAAGGTATATTTTGGTACAATGTCCTGTTTGAGTTAAATAGATTGTTAATCAAAGATGGGTCAAGAAACTTTGTTTTTTTGGAGCAAATATAATAAATAAATCTATTGTGAAGCATGCTATATACTTGTTTCTGTGAGTTCAAAGTTCTTTAAATTTGAAAGGCCGGAATAATGGAACCATAAAAAGCAAAGAAACAATTTTCATGTGATATACTTGTAGTGTTTTGATGAATTATTAAATAGCAGACATCAACTGGATTTGTTGCGAAGTTGTTGTACAGAATGATAGGAACAATAATTCTGAACAAATAGTTGTAATTATAGAACATCATGTATATAAATTTAATACATGCATTGGCATGCTTAATGACCCAATTACCTCTCAAAAAAGCACTTTTACATCTTTTCCGCCATAATAGAGGAGGATATTCTTGTAAATAACTATTTTTAATACACCAAAGCAAACAATGCATATGAGATAATCTATACTTAACCAATATAAGCATTCCTAATACACACATTATTTTTAAACACTCTACCAAACGACTCCTAGGCGATTTCTTCCCATATGTTCTAGCTTTGGTGGATAGAGTTACGTGGGACTCCCTCTTTTTCGCATTTTCTACATCCTTCAATGATCATAACATCCCTCCTTTCATTTATTTATTTTCCCACAAAATATTTCTATTAGGAGTACTACTTAAGCTAACTGTTTTTTTTTTATGAAAACAGAAATTGAGCAACTTGAAGCATTTGGATCTCACGGACTGCTATGAATTAAGAAAAACCCCTAATTTTGGTGATATGCCAAACTTGGTGAAACTAAATTTACACAGGTGTGAGAATTTGGAAGAGGTGCATCCCTCTCTTGGACATTGCAGAATGCTTACTTCTTTGACTTTGTCTTATTGTTACAAACTTAAGAAGCTTCCAAAATTTGTGTGCATGGAATCTCTTGAGCGTCTCTATCTCATTAAATGCACAAGCTTACAAGAATTTCCAGAAATCTGTGGAGATATGCAGTGCTTATCAAAACTCTTTCTTGAATCCCCCTGGATAAGAAGCTTATCCCCGTCTCTCAGCGGCCTTAGAAAGTTGAAATTGGCTGATTGTGAAATTCTTGAAAGTATTCCAGACACTATACGAAATCTTAGTGATCTCATTATTTCAGGTTGCAATAAACTTACAACACTGCCAGACAGCCTCTTTGAATCACAGCAATTGGAACATCTTTATATACACCGATGTTCTGGATTGGTAAAGCTCCCCTCATCTCTTGGAGTTCAAAAGAATCTCTATGAGTTAGAGATGGATAGATGTGAGAACTTACAGAAGTTTTCAAGCTCTATTCGGATAGAATCCCTTACACGACTCAAGATATCTAATTCCCCAAAATTAGATACATTTCCAGAAATCAAAGGAGATATGCATTGCTTGAAGTTCCTGACTCTGACGTCTACTGCGATAAGAGAAGTGCCTTCATCCATTGGGAATCTGAGCGGCCTCATTTATCTAAATCTGTCAGGTTGTGAAGATCTTGTAAGTCTACCAGACAACCTCTGTAATTTGGTGAATCTTCGTAGTCTTAACCTCAGAGGTTGCAAAAGGCTAGAGAAGCTTCCAGAAAACGTTGGTGATTTGCAAGAGTTGTATATACATGATACTAGCGAAACTGCAATATCCCAACCACACGATCGCAACATATTGGGTGGACAATTAGGATCTTTGAGAGAATTGGATGTAAGTGGAAGCAATATTTCTTGTTCACCAAAAAGCTTAAAAGGACACTTTCTCCTTCAGTATCTGGAAGTACACTACTGTGAGAATCTTAATGAACTGCCAAGAGAGCTACCCCCAAATTTAACATGGCTATATGCAGATTATCATTTAGCCCTGAAGAGCATCAGAGATCTCGTAATGAATTGTCTTAAGTTGTGTAGGCTGGGAATATCCAACTGTGGAACTGTCTCAAGTGAACAAGTTAATGTGTTCCTACAGCATTTTCACAAGACATGCATCCAGGTTATTAATTTATTGAATATTGAATTTTCTTGTCAAATTGATTGATTTCTAGTAGTAATAATTTATATTCTATTGCATGCAGTGTAACTTCCACCTAAGGGATTATTTTCTCATTGTTTTTCCTGGAGTCAGAATTCCTGAGCTGTTTGATTACAATCGGTTTATATATCAACAAGATATGTCAATTGATCTGGACCCATCTTGGTATACCGATAAATTCATTGGTTTTTCGATATGTTACGGTCCTATTAGAAATCACACAGAATTACGAGTTACATTGGTCTGCAAATCTGGCCCTGAAAGAAAATATTCCTTGGGGTATAACAACTTTCTCGGTGAAAATTTGGAGTCTGACGATCCTTTTATTTGTTTTGCCTACATACCATTTGAAACATTGTGGAACAATGGCGAAGGCAATAAAGAAGGGAAGAATCCAAATGATTATTACATGTTGGAGTTGGAGTTGGAGTTTACTGATGAAGTAGGCTGGGGAATTCGCCTGGAGTATGAAAAGGAGGCAATGAGTAATACTAGTCATCCAAATAAGAAAAGGAAGCAATGAGGTCTGTTTATGACTTGTTTTACATCACGATATTTAAATGTTGTTTATTTCTTTCTTAAATTCCATATTCAACCAAACACGTCGCATCATCCGTTTGTGGGATTTTACTAGATATGTTGTTTTTTGAATCATTTTCTGGGTGATTGTAATAAGTGACCGCAATACATGAGCATAAGGTGGATTTTCATTTTGTAATTCAAAATATCTAAATGATTCTATAGACACATATATTGGTCAAAATTCTATATTAATTTACAGAAAGGTATCAATTTGCTGTTCATTTGTTTAATTTGTAAGTTGAAAAAAGGTACATTCTTATGTCATGAATTAGGAAAGATGATAACAAGTTTCCTATAGAAGATGAAAAAAGGTAAAGTCTTTTCTCTTTGTGAACACTATTAACAATTTTGTTCCCATTGAAAAAAAGGTCCTGCATGTGAACTTTATTAAAGGTTGGACCCATTTGATGGGTGACCGAATCCTCGGAAGTCCTCGTATTAGATCTCTTCTTATGTCGTTTATTTCAACCATATTACAATAAAGAGTTTTAAGTTGTAAAAAATGTAATGACTTCAATTAATTTCTCACAATAATGAATACCTAGGATACATTTTTATGAGTTGAAATAGCAAGATGATAAGGAGTTACCCGTAACGAGTATGACCTAGTAATTAATGAAGTGGTTGAGAGTCATGACGTCTCGGGATAAATCCCAACTGATACAAAAGCGCCAAGTGATTCTTCCCATATGTCCTTGTCCTATCCCCGATGGACAAAGTTACTTGATACATATTGCCGGTAGGTGTCTATGGGTGAATGGAAGAGATAGTTGTTTTCATGATGAGATTTGTGAAATTAGTCGAGGTGTGCTCTAGATATTAACTATTATAAGAAAAGAACAATTGATATGAGTCATTTTTCTCAATAATTCAGAGAAGTTACGGAGAAGATTCAAAGATGGAGGGATGAATTTGCTAATATGGTGTAAAAAGATGTAGTAAGTAAACTTTGTTTTTATTTGTGTTTGTTGATGGACCCATTCACAATAATGCATGTTGCAGACACAATGTGGAAAGAAGACTTCATATCAGACATTGACTTTAAATGTGAGGACTTTATTAATGATAACTTAGACCAAATTCTGAGAAATAATTTTACCAATTAGGCTTCAAATATTAATCTGAGAAGTTACCTGTTAGTCTTTAGCAATATCCTTCAAACAATGTCTCATGCTTCTTCTTCCAAAGTCTGCAAGTACGATATCTTTTTGAGTTTTAGAGGTGAGGATACGCGTAGAACCTTTGTGAGTCATCTCTATAATGCTTTGGAACAGAGAGGAATCCATGCTTTCAAAGACGATGAACGGTTGGAGGCAGGACAATCAATTTCTGCTGAACTTTTAAAAGCCATAGAAGACGCCAGATTCGCTGTCGTGGTATTTTCAAAAAGCTATGCATCCTCAAGACGGTGCTTAGAGGAGCTTGCACACATCATAAAGTGTAAAATGGAATTGGAGCAGGTTGTGATTCCAGTATTCTATGATGTGAGTCCATCAAATGTACGCCATCAAAATTCCCCTTTCGCGGATTCATTTTTCCAACACGAGGTAGAATACAAAGATGATATGGAGAAGGTTCAAAGATGGAGAGGTGCATTTGCGGAGGCAGGCAAATTATCAGGCTATCATTTACTAAATTTCAAGTAAGCTTTCTATTTTTTTTATGGTTTCTCTTTATCAAGAGCGAAAAGGAACAAACTTTTAGCTACAATTCATCAGCTATACTTTTACCAGAGATGGAACAAAGATTCTAGGAAAATCGAGACGTATATGGTTGTTTGATGATTTTAAATCGTTATAATTCATAATAGTTGATTTGAACTAACATTATTATGTGTTTGTTTTAGATATTAGTCTGACAAGTCTATTTATTTACTCTGAGATTATTTCACTGTAACGTAGGGATGAGGCAGCGTGCATCAAGAAACTAGTTGATGACATATTTTCTAAGTCACTTCAAATTATTTCAGCTTTTCCCGAAAAGCTTAGTGGGTATGAAATCTCAGGCTGAGAAAGTAACCTCATTATTAGATATGGAATCAAATGATGTTCGTTCTATTGGTATTTGGGGTATGGGCGGCATCGCCAAAACAGAAATTGCAACTGTTCTACATCAATTTGAAGCTGATTGTTTTCTCGGTGATGTTGGAAAACTTCATCAGAAAAATGGACTAACATGGCTAGAAACAAGTCGTCATTTGCAAGCTCTTGGGTGAAAAATTGACTCTTAACTAGTGAGGATGAAGGGATGAATATTTTAAAGAATATGCTTCGTTGGAAGAAAGTTCTGTTCACCATCGATGACGTAAACCATCAAGAACAGTTGGAATTTTGGGTTGGAGAACCAGAATGGTATGAAAAGGAAGACATGAGTGATGCAAACGTCTGTCTATCACTTATTTTACGTCACAAATTTCAAATTATATTTTGCTTTCTTTCTTAAATTTCGTACTCAAACCAAACACGTATCGTAAAATGGTATGGAAAGAGTATGTGCTACATTGTTAGTACAATTTGTATATGAGGGGTTTGTATCAATGATACATGGATGAAATTTTTACTAATTATAAGGCTTAAGTCATCTACGGCCACTTAAAGTTGTCCATATATTTCACTTAAACACCTTAACATGTCCATTTTCCTATTAGACACTTCAACCTTACAAAATAAATACCTATCAAATATTTTTCTGACACGTACTTAAAAAATGAAGTGCGTGCAACACACACGCAGTTGATGTGGCAAAATAACAAATTAAATTACGACATGTGGCATTTTAGTTTAATTATCTTAAATAAATGAAATAAAAATACCAAAAAATCTAAATCTAAAAAAAAAAGAGTTTCAACCAGAAAAAAAAGAAAGAAAAATCCACCTCACCCCACCCACCCCAAACCTCCCCTTCTTCTCTTTCCCTTAAAGATAATCATTTCCACCATTGTTGTTGTTCATCTAAAAAAAAGTGGAGATTTTAACATATACTAACTAAGAATTTTTTATTTTTGTTTCTCTTTATCCCGTCTTTTTGTTCCTATTTGGAATTGATATTGTTATTTTTTTACAAAAAATACGTTATAATTAATTTTGTTTTCGAATTTTGTTTCTACTTTGTTGTGGAAGAAGAAGGGGTTTTGTATGCGTCTCCATTTTTTCTGGTAAGGAGATGTGGATGATAGCCTTCATTTTTCCCAGAAAAAAAATATGGATGGCGGTATCCATTTTTTCCGACAAAAAGATGTCAAGATATAATTTTAAATCTGAAAAATTAAAACAATGACAAGAAGAAATATGATAAAACAAACATATTAAGGCTTGAAATGTAAGGAATAAAGTGATGTTTGAATTTATTATTGCCTTGGAATTCTTATGTTAATGGTGGATTGTTATGAAGAAAATAGGATCGCGGGTGGTATTATTTTGAAAAGGAGTATTTGAAAAGATTGTTATTTTTTTAAAAAAAATAATGAGAAAAAAAGTTTGAAAATTTCTGATTAAATGATTCACGCGCTTATTAAGGCGTGAATCTCACTTTTTTGCCACATGTACACAACGTGTTTAAATGGTTTAAATTCAGAACAATCCAGGTGTTCAATAGGTATAAGTCCTAGTTAAAATGTTTAAGTGAAATATGTGAACAACTTTAAGGGTCCGTCTATGACTTAAGCCTAATTATAATGTTGCTTTTGAGCCTCAAACAACTTTTTTATCATTCGAAATCTCATTGGATATGTTGGCGCGTGATGATCGAGTCATGACCAACGATACCTGCATTTTGTGTTAAAACTGACTCGACTAACCATAGACATGTGTTAAGTACGTACAACATCAAATATTTCACCAAGGTATTTGTTGCGTTTATAACAAACATAATAAAAAGTGATGATTCATTTCCCTAGATTTCACTTTCTTTGAGATTGTTATAACTTACGCATGCATGAGCATATACTTAAGAAATTATTTTTTTATATCGTTAGATTTTCATTTTGTAATTCAAAATAAATAATTAGACTACTCTGAGTATAAGAACGGTTTTGTTCTGACATAAAAGTCTTCAGACAAGTCTCTACGAAGCAAAGAAATGTAAAGTGACGTCCAATCCAGCCAGGACCTCGTTTATTTTCATCTTCTCAATTAACGTTGTCCTATAGAAAAAAAAAAGAAGAAGCTAGCTCGATTTCTTTCTAAATTCAGTATACATCGATGATATTGTTAATAACCTTTTTTGATGATTTAAATTCAGTGAAATTTTATTGTCAATCTAAACACGATAATATGAGATATCATTATTATTTTAATATACTTTGATTATCGAGAAGATTATTTTCAAATTTCAGACAATTTCATTTTTTTGAATTTTTGCAAAAATTCAAAATACAGTACGGAAATTTCACTTTATTCAAAATTTGGAGCCAAAAATCTGAAAATTCAAATCCAACTGAAATGACGACTAAAAGATTTCGCGGCTTAAGAGGCAAGTGGTCCCCAGCAAAGTAATTTTTTTAAAGTTATTTATTTATTTGCAAATATTAGTAAATTATTCTTTTTTATTGAGTGTCCCAAAAAAAAGTACAAAAAATACCTCCTAATAAAAAATAATATATAAAATCAAGATGCAAATAACTTTATATTCTTCCTTTGTTTTGGTTAGTTTTTATGTTCTTATTTAATTTCTCAAACATAATTTTATGTACTTAAAGTCAATTTATTCTTTTTATTTGTTCATTACGCTACAAAATATTAAATGCATTTTTATTTATCATGTTTAACATATTAAAGGAAAAAATATTATTTCTTTTTAAAAAATTAATAAGTTATATTCTTCAATTTTATGACTTAGAGCTGATATACCTCGTTAATAAATTGATTTACATATCCCTTTTTATATCTCATCATTAACTTTTCTTTTCCAAATTATTTCTTAATATTTTAAAATAAATATTATTAATTAATATAAATATTTTGATCGATCATTATTTTTTAAAAAATATATAAAATTCAAAACAAATAAATAAAAAAAGTTATAGTTATCCTTTAGGTGAAAAGTACCAACACTCCGCATAAATTGTCACCCACTAGGCACATGTAACAAGGAGAGCAACCTCACATAACTAGAATTAATTCTTGTTTTGTTGGGTGCTTTTTCTAGTGACATGTACATAATGGGTAAATTTTTTTTTATGAAATCAATAAATATATTCATATTATAAAAATATTTAATATAAATAATTTATCAAAAATTTGACTTAAATCAAATATGTAGTTAAATAAATATGATAGCTGAAGAGAGTTTGTGTTTTTTATAATTTTTAATGGGAGATATGATTTGATATTTGATATTCATATAGAAATTTAATTTTATTTAACTGAACAATAAAAGAAAGGTAATTTTTTTCATTATTTTGAGTAAACTTATAATTTTACAAAAATATATTTTGTAAAAATATATGATACATAAAAAAAATAATCTCCTAATTAAAAGTTAAAACTTCTTTTCTCCTTTAAAAAGACTCAACCCTTTACTTTTAATTGAAGGATCAATTACTATTTCCACTCCATTTTAAATGTTGTTTAATATTTTAATTTTTAATGCACCCCTTAATTTATTAATATTCTTTTTTGGTCCAATTCAAGTATCTTAATTATTATTCGAACAATTAAAGAATATTTTCTTTAATTATAATTTTACAAAATAGTTTCTAAATATTTGAAATTGTTAATTATTGTGACTTATAATACCTTATATATAGTTTCTAAATATTTACATCTTATAATAAAAACTGTCCAAATTCATAATATTAATCAGTTTGACTCTCGAATCAAATCAAGATAATCTTTTTTAAGCACAAGGAAAAATTAAATTTCATTTATTCAGGTAGTGATAGGACCCCATAAAATATAAGTGTGTAGTTGAAAATTTGATAATATATTAGAGACTTTTGACTATTTTTCTCTTTTTAAATATACAAATCTTATAACAAAAACTGTCCAGATACATAATATTAATCAGCTTGACTCTCGTATAACCGAATCAAGATAATCTTTCTTAGATATAAGGAAAAATTAAATTTCATTTTTTTTAATTATAAGAGCACGAAAACATTAGATTTGTTTTTGTTTTAAATAAAATAAATATTTTTTCTTTATTTCCTAATTTGATTCTTAAATACGAAAAAAAGAGTACATTTAAAAATAGATTTTATTTTATAATACAATAAAGATAAAAAGATTCCTTTATTTTCTCTTTCAGACAAATCCTCTGTCTTTTCTTTCATTTCATTTCTATGGAGAAATCTCAATATTTCTCTGCAAAACCCTAAATTTTCTCAATTTTTTCTTCTTACATGAGCTAATTTGTGTTAAAAATCTATAAATTCTTCTTGCTTTTTCTTGTTTTTCTATGGAAATGGGTTCTGTTGTTGGATTAGGAGACGTTAATTTCTCTACTGAACCAAAAACTCCAACACCCACCATGATTTTCCCTAAAATTGAGCCGAAACTTGAACCCCTTGATGAATTTACCCCTCAATCGATGAACCCCAATTCGAATTTCAGTTACAATTCTGGTTTCAGAAATACTACTACTCCGCAGCAGCAGCAGCTGAATGCTACTAGTTCTCAAACTCCAAGCTCAATCGAGGCAGGTGTTCATTCCGAGTATAATCGGATATCTGAGCTGTTTCAAACGGCTTTTGCTCAGAGTGTACAGAGAGATGGAGATGTTGAAGCTAATGAGGATTTGGGTTGTCGAGCGATTGTTCCTGTCAGCAATGGTTCACAGGTACGAGGGATTGTTTTATTTAGCTTGTATTAGAGATTTTAAATCAAATCCTGAAGAAGTTTAGGTTAAAAATTGAATAAAATGAACTTTTTTTTTGTTGGTTTGGTTTGAGTTGATTTGGTGTTGTGATGATTTTGTAGATGAATTTGATGTAATGCTTACTGACCCAGGTAGTTTTTTTGTGAGTTCGATCGATCCTTTTTGATTTGTTAGCTTAATCTCAGGTCTCTGATATTGTTATTACAAGAAGGAAGTATGAGAAGAGGTCATCAGAGTTGGTTAGGGTGACTGATCTTAAACCAGAGGATGTACGATACTTCCGTGACCTGATTCGAAAGACACGAATGCTTTATGATTCTCTACGGATTTTTGTAAATTTAGAGGATGAAAACAGCCAACATTTGGGTTCTGGCAGACAGACTAGAGCAAGGGGGGACTTGAAAGCATCACAAATGATGAGGGAGCATGGACTTTGGTTGAATCGTGATAAGCGTACTGTTGGTCCGATTCCAGGAGTGCTTGTTGGTGATTTGTTCTTATATAGAATGGAGCTTTGTGTGGTAGGACTACATGGGACACCTCAAGCTGGGATTGATTATCTTCCTGCTAACCAGAGCTCAAATGGGGAGCCAATTGCGACAAGTATAATTGCTTCAGGGGGGTATGAGGATGATGAAGATGCTGGGGATGTGATTATATATACAGGGCAAGGTGGACAGGATAAGAACTCACGGCAAGTTGTGCATCAAAAGTTGGAAGGTGGGAATTTGGCATTGGAGAGGAGCATGTACTATGGAGTTGAGGTGAGGGTAATTCGTGGCTTTAAATATGTTGGTAGTTCTAGTGGTAAAGTGTATGTGTATGATGGGTTGTATAGAATCACGGAATCTTGGTTTGATGTGGGTAAGTCTGGATTTGGAGTGTACAAATATAAGCTTGTTAGGATTGAAAATCAACCAGACATGGGAAGTGCTATACTTAGATTTGCAGAGAGTCTTAGGACCAGGCCACTAGAGGTAAGGCCCATGGGATACATTTCTCTTGATATATCTAGGAAAAAGGAAAATGTGCCTGTATTTTTATTCAATGATATTGATAATGAACGTGATCCAGCTTGTTATGACTATCTGTTGAAGACTGTATTTCCTCCATATGTCTATCAGCATGTGGGAAATGGTTCAGGTTGTGAATGCACCGATGGGTGTGGGAATGGGACTAATTGCTTTTGTGCCATGAAAAATGGTGGACAGTTTGCATATGATACGAATGGGATCTTGTTGAGAGGAAAACCAATCATTTTTGAATGTGGGCCACATTGTTCATGTCCTCCAACTTGTTTGAATCGAGTTAGTCAGAAAGGTGTGAGGAACAGGTTTGAAGTATTTCGGTCTAGGGAGACTGATTGGGGAGTTAGGTCGTTAGACCTCCTGCAAGCAGGGTCTTTTATTTGTGAATATACTGGTGTTGTTCTCACTCAAGAGCAAGCTCAAATATTTACAATGAATGGTGATAGTTTAATCTATCCAAGCCATTTTGCTGAGAGATGGGCGGAATGGGGAGATTTATCCCGAATAGATTCTAATTACGCTCGACCCGCATACCCCTCCATTCCTCCTTTGGATTTTGCGATGGATGTTTCTAGAATGAGGAATTTAGCCTGTTACATGAGTCACAGTTCAAGCCCCAATGTTCTAGTACAGCCTGTGCTGTATGATCATAATAATGTATCTTTCCCTCACCTCATGCTCTTCGCAATGGAGAATATCCCTCCCCTAAGGGAGCTCAGCATTGATTATGGAATGCCTGATGACTGCACAGGGAAGCTTGCCATCTGCAATTGACTACCTCATAGGAATTGTTGGAGTTTTGAGAGATGCAGCATAGCTATTTTTGGCACATCATGTACTGAGGTAACCATCAATAGTTAATAATCCTGTAGAGTTTGAAATTATGATAGACATCATAACATTTTCTTGAATTGCTGGTTTTGCATTTAGATTCTGTAAATTGGTCGTCTTCTTACTTTACCTGCATGTGGTCTTTGTTCTTTGCATCTTTCTTCATATGCTGATTGAAGTCCCTTCCACTTTGAATTCCCAGAGTGATTCTGCTCATGGCTGGCCGTCTTAATTTAGTGCAACGCTGACAACCTCTTTGGAATGTCACTGTCCTTGCTTTACAATTGTAGGATCCCACACAAGCTATTTGAATATGCATACAATAGATTAGTCGTAAAGGCATTTCAAAAGCATTTGAGTGTACTTCCGTTTTGAATAATTTTGAATCAGATGTCCTGTGATTATTCAGAGCCAGATTACAGTTCTATTGGCTCTACTTTTTCTAATTGTACATTTTGTTCTTTGCTTTCTATGTCTAAGAAGCTTCTAATTTTATTGAATTAAAAAAAAGAAAAGAGAGAGCGACTTCCGATTTAGCTGTGAAAAATTACATGGACTGAAAATGTTGAAATTTGAAATATTAACTGTACCAACTAGACAAAAGAAAAGAGTGTAGCCTATGCCATCTTTTATTAATTTCTTTCTGGTTTAGTACCAAATAGCATTCTCCGTCACCTCTTTAGGTGCACTTGCATATTTTAAAGACTATTAATGTTCTCATCTTAGGAGTGCTTAAATGTTTCAGTCAAAGTGCCTTAACAGATTGTGAATCATCTCTGGTAGTATCTTCAAGACAATCAAGACACTAATCAGTAAAACGTCATTTACTCACCTTTTTATGAAGAGCTAATGTATGCTGTTTGATGATTATTGATCTTGTTTAATGCTAATTGTATTATACATTGTTCTGTTCTTTTTTTTTGTGTGTGTGTTGATTTCATTCACTTGCATATATGGTGGGAGGCCCTATTATAATATACTTTATTTGAGTAAACTGAACATCATAGAACGTCCGGGGAAAAGGACTTGGAATGTTGTAACCTCCTTTCTACATGTTCTATATCCTTGTTTTGCACATCAGTATCTCGAATTCTCGATGCTTATACCTTTGTGATGTTGGAGAGAACATAGCATGAACTTTTGTAAGCTTTTGACTTATTGTAGTCACTAACAACTGTATTAGCTAAATATTCAGCTGACGTTGAATTATTTCTCGTGCAGATGAAGGCGCGGTTGTTGGTGAACGTTTTCTCTATTTCCTTTGCCCAAGAATACTCACAATCTTGATGATAGAATCTAAGTCCACATAACCTAGATTTCATGGTGTGTTCAATGACTAGCTGAGAAGATAGAAGAAAGTTTGTTGCAACAACTAACTTGGAACTTGGAAGTAATACTCTTCTCCCATTATAAGAGCTCATGTTAAGTATAAGCTACTTCTTGTTTGCGTCTTCCGTTCTCGAAAGAGAAAAAGAAACCTATTAGCTAGTAGATATGAAGATTGAACTTCATATGATCATGTATAGAGATTTGTATCAATCCTTTGTCATGGTTAGTTGTAATCGAGATCAATCGATCTTCGAATTAAATTAGAACAAAGGATGAGCCAGCTTTGTAATGCATTGGATGTCATCAAAGGCAGCTCCCTCCCCTCCCCCCACCCCACCCACAGGCACAAAAATTCAGAAATGAAAGTTCTAAGCAATTGACATCTCTTTCTCTCCTCTGCTTTAGTCCTAAAGACTTTTAGGTCATGACATTTGTTTGATTAGGCGATTATTAGGTTATCCAAAAGACCTAATCAATGAGATTTGGGACGGTAATGTTCTTTATTATTTCTTCATTAATGGGAGACCTGCATTTGCATTTGTTATCTTGTTTGATGAGTTTTCTTTCTTATTGGTTTATGGTTTATACTTTGCTTCCTAATCTGTAAAGATCGTATGTCAATGATCCATTTTTCTGAATAAGAGTATGGGTTTGGGCTTAAGTTCGGGATTTTGAATCGATCAATCGAATGGGAAAACACCTTTTGTCTTTCACTTTCTCTCGCTTGGAGCTTAAACTTGTCAAGAGAGCAATTGTCTTTGATTCCGCAACTTGCTTAATTTAGGAGGGTAGTATATTCACAGATCTTATCCTTATCTTATGGAGGTAGAAAGCTTGTCTTAGAAAGACTCTAAGGTCAAGTAAGGAAACAACGAGTAATAATAAATGGTAAGACAATAAACTACAAAAATAAAACTAATATGAATGGATAAACGAATACGATGCACCAAACTATTACCAAGCTTATTCTGTAAGAAAGCGAGACAACACAATATGAACGGATAAACAAATATGACGCACCAAACTATCACCAAGCCTATTATGCAATTATCTACTAATCTTTCACTCAAATCGACGACCTTCGTATCCTTTTATCTACGATCAAGCCTATTATGCAAGAAAGCGAGACAACACAATATGAACGGATAAACAAATACGATGCCACCAATCTATTACCAAGCCTATCCTGTAAGAAAGTGAGACAATGCACGATTATCTACTAATCTTCCACTCTAATCTACGACCTTCGTATATTTTTATCTACGATCAAGGCTATTCTGCAAGAGAGTGGGACAACGTAATATGAACGGATAACACACTAAATGATAACACACTAAACTATTCTGCAAGAGAGTGAGACAATGCAATATGAACGGATAACACACTAAACTATTACCAAGACTATTGTGCAAGAACGCGAGACAACACACGATTATCTACTAATCTTCCTTTCTAATCTACGACCTTTGCATCTTTCTATCTACGATTATGACCGGAGTAAACGGTCGAAATAACATCATAAAATTCTTTTAATATGCAAAAATTATTTAAAAAAATGTACAAACACAGGCGTGGTCGGCAGGATTCGAACCTGCGCGGGCAAAGCTCACATGATTTCTAGTCATGCCCGATAACCACTCCGGCACGACCACTTGATGTGATGTTATTTTCTAAAGTATATATATATATATATATATAATATTTAGTATATTTATTTATTAATTTCATGATGAAGCTAAGCTTAATGTTACAAACTTCTGCATATTGTTAAAATTCTATAACTCATTAGATGAAGTTGTAGGTTGAATGATACATGAATAACATGGGCGATTCAACAAATGTAGATTCATAATATATGAGTATTAATTATAAGTCTTATCAAGAGTTATACGTTGTCAAAAAAAGTCTTCGTTTATTATTTTTGGGACTTAAAGTTCACAAACCTAGTTATGTGAGTTCTTAGGAACACAATAATATCTATGTTGACGTAGACTGGTGTATTTATAGTCTTATCTCTAGTTACCTTAGAAGATAGAGAAATTATTTTCAATATATAGAAAATAGAAACAGTACAATAATAAAAAGAATTGAACTCAAAATAATGAAAGAAAAAAATCATAACAATATATAAGGATCTAGCAAGCATATGTATCAATTATATAAGGGGTTTTAAGAACTAGTAACTTGAATAAGGCTTACATTAGACAAAAAAAAATGCATAAACAAAAATTGAAACTATAAAAAGTACTCCCCAAAATGTGTACTCTTTGCTTCTCTACTTGTACTATTTTCTTATATAGTTTTTCCAAGTTGTGTTCTCATTTGATAATTTGCTAATTAAGTAAACTAGATCAATTTGCTTTGTGTCTCTCCATGTTTCTACATACAAAGTCCTTTGGCCTCAGTAGTCCTCATGATTCTTAGTCTTTTCACATTGCTCAAAAACATCCTACAAGACAATACAAACGAACAGGTAAGCAGAGACGCATTCAGGATTCGAAATTTATGAATTTTTATAACGATAATGATTTCTAGTCAAAGATTTTTGTTTTCTTATATAGTTGTGGTGTCTAGCCTAACTTGCATGTACTTTAACTAACTCTACAGAATACTTAGGTTACATTTTACTAGCAATAGATATCAGATAACTCTGTTCTAAATACGTCAAACATTTTAACTAACTATAGAAACGCTAAATTAAAAGAAATGTTTCTTTACCCCCATGGAACATCTCCTACAAGCATCCAATCTCCATCTTTATCCTCATATGTGAGAACAAACTCTGATGATCCATCCAAGAGCTTACATGACTTTGTTACTTGTTCTTTTTCTCCACCTAATTTAAATAAGCACAAATTCAATTAAGTATCATATATTATCACTATAACAAGAAAAATCACACTAACATGTACTATCTAGGGTAAAGAGAGGTTTCATCTTAAGTAAATGAGTTTATATAAAGTAAATTCAAATTAATCAGAATCACAAACAAATATCAGACGTTGGATGGAAAATAAAGTGTTTGATAACCAAGTTATTAGACTGTAATTGTATTCGATCTTTGGAGGCTCTTTAAAAATAGTCACTTTTGCCTGATCCTACAAAAATAAAATACTTTTGAAGAATCAGACATGCCCCCATTGTCATTTTGAAAAGTTCGAGCAACATAACTTTTGAGAAGTAGCACCATCAAATCATTTCAAAGATATAATTTTAGTAACTATGATAGATATGTCAACTTACAATTAGTAGTTTTGGTTGATTTGAAGAACATCTCCTCCAAGATTTTGGCTAAAGTTTCATAGCAAATATGAGAACTCAAATTCACTTTTCTTCCAATTGGCAATCCATCCATATTCACCTTTACAAAATCTACATCATTATTCTTGGTATTATTAATTCCATGATTAATTTTCTTGTTTGAACTCTCAGTTTCTTTGTTCACATTTTCTTCTTGTTGATGATCAGCATTTGTAATCTTTGATTGATTAAAACTATTCATCCTGTAAGTCCTTATTGGTGGCCATCCCACAACCTGACTGCTTCAAAAGAAATGCAATTATATTGGTTAGAAATAACTAAGGCTACAAAAAAAATTATATGAACATAGTAATGTGGATGTACCAATTAAATGTTATATTAATTAATAGAGAGAATTAAAGTAAGGAAAAATAAGCACTTTTTTTTTTATAATTGTTTGAATTTCGAAATTCATTGATCTGATTAATACCACACAAGCCCATAAAAAGAAATTGCTCCCTCCCTATCCATAGTTTATCGTTCCCAAAAGACAATAACGATAATATATATATATATTAAGTGTAATTCTACAGAAGGTAGAGCCTACTACGATTGTACCCCCACTAAAACTCCTTCAAGAGGTATAGAGAGAGTGTTTTCGTCTATCCAAAAGATCCCCAGTCAATTAACGCATATCAAACAGTGTACAAAGGTAAAGACGAAATAACATATAATAAAGGGTAAACTAGACAATAACAACAACCAAATAAAGTAATGTGATGGTCAAAACACAAGAAATATTTGATAGTAAAGAATTTTGAATATTAACTCTTTATTTAGCGAGCAACACAACGACCCTATTATGTTAGTCTTTTCACCATATACAAAGCTTATAATTATCCTTAAAGAATCACATTCTTTCCACCACAACCATAAAAATAAAAAAACAATCACTTCAAAGCCATAACTCAAGTAAAAACTCCTAATATAGTCACCAAATTTACCAAAAAAGGCTTATATCATCATCATACATTTTTTCATAAAACAAATGGAATTATCATGGTGAAGCTATAACAAAAAAAAAAAAATACTAACATTTAATCGCACAATTTAATCTTTAATTTTTATCCTTCAAACGAGCATCCTGCTCCTTACAATCAAACTTATGCCTTGCGCGAGGTATAATATCTATAAGGCTACAAGACATAACGTCTGAAATATTATAATACGAAAATATAAACTTATGTCCAACGAAAAAGTTATTTACCTGGCACTTGTAGAAGCAGATCCAATATTTTCATCAGTACAAATATTATTAAATCTTCTTGTAATAAATCCATTAGGAAAATCTTTAGCAGTCAAAATTCTACCATACTCACACCATTTTGTTGATGATTTGTTAGTCTTTGTAACACTTGGGCCTAGGCCCAAGCCCAATTCAAGCCCAGTTTCATCACTGTAAGATGAATTATTCTCTGAACACATTTTTCCAATTTTTGACAAACTACAAATATTGAAGTTCAAGAAATGAATGAGAATCAAGTGATCATATATATATATATATATTGGGAGATAATTAATTAATTTAATAATAATAATTAAAAAATTTAAAATGTTATATATGGGACCCATATGTTTGCCATTGAGCCAAACACTTTTTTAAATTATTATTATTAAATAAAATGATTAAACAAATGAATTCTTCCTCTTCAAGTTTCATTTGAAATCATTTCAATTTTCTTTTTGCCATTATATGTACTTGAATGTGTTATTTCTTTGTTCCCTATAGCTTTTAAGAACTTTTCTCCTTTCTTATTCACTTTTTTGTCCAAATGTTGGGACTAAACTTACAATGAATATAATTTTCTAGTATAACAAAAAGTTACGATAAAGTGATAAGTATTAATTCACATTCAAAGCTTAACTAAAGATGAAATTAGTTTTCGAAAAAACATTTTTTTAAGTAAAAATTTTAATATAAATTTAAATTAAGAGGACGAATATCAAACACTGAATTAAAAACAAATGAAGAAAACCATTTCTTCGACTCCTTGAAAATTCAATAATTTTTTGTTTTTATCCTCCTATGATAGTTTTGGTTCACATTTGATAGAAATAAGATTATGTACACACCACTTTTTTTTACTAATTACTATAAAAAAAAATCTTTAGTTAATTTAAGTTGGTGAATATATATGGCCAAAATCACTATTAGATCAATCTTTTGAAAGTAAGGGTAAGTGATAGTTGTCTTCTAAATAATAGACAAACAACACAAAGAAAGTAAATAAATAAAGTATATTGAAGCCAAAAAAAATAGTATATAGTCTAGACTAAGCTTTTGGCTTGTGAAAAGAATCAACCTTTTACACATTAACCCATGAGTTTTAATGCTAAAGTTGAGACACCTAAACTTGACTAATTAAGATTTTCTAAATCCTTGATTTTGTTTTATGTCAATTACAAATGCTTAATTAAGATTTATAGGCATCTAGAAGACTTATAATTAATGAGGTTTCTCCATTAGCCTTTCTTTATCCAAGTCATCATACTTTTTTATACTATACTATGATCGTACTAAACTTATAACTCAGTATAGTTTAATATTTTAAGTTTGATTTTACTATACTTCGTAGTGTGATAGATTTGTAAATCATAGTTTTGTTCAACATCGATTCACATATACTTTTATAATAAAGAAATATAATTTCGACCTTTCAGAAGCGTTTTAATTATATCATACTAACACCTTTAACATATAGTAATATTCAAAAGAAGGTATATAAAAGACATTTGTCTTCGTTTATCAATTATACAAAAAAGGGCACATTTCTTGACGAAGAACGAACACCACCAACGAAAGCACTATGCTAGAACGACAATGACACTAAGAGACAAAAGCTAGGGGAGGAATGAGGTTAAATACTTCAGTAGTCTTAGCCGTAAACGATGAATACTAGACACCGAATCAAGATAGTGTAATCAGAATTCCGATGACTAAATAATTGATTTTGTAATATTAATTTATATATTTATCAGGATTATAACAACATATATGTATGTATACGTAAATATATACTTCAACACGTTATCTGTATTTTGATATGTTTTTTGTTGAAAATTGAATATCATATCGAATATATATAAAAATAAAAATACATATCAAATATTATTATATCAAAATTACGAAAACATATCTTATTATTGTGTTGTTATAATTTAATATATCGTATCTATACTGAATAAATAAAAGAAAAGAAGTAGTAACTTTTTATGCGACAATGATATTTTTTGCAGGCCTTGAAATAAAATTCATGTTTGATAGTACTATTAAGCTAATTATTAAATTAACCACATTAAAGTTTTGTAATATCTTACATATGATCTTTGTCGGACCAAATATTATTATTATTATTATTCTGTCCAAATTAACTTTTAATAAAATGTAATATAATACTCAATTAATAAACATGTTTTCTAGAGACAATGCCAGTATTAGAGAGCTTAATATATAGACAAATTGATAAATAATTAATTTTCTTTAGAAAGTTAACACCAACTAATTTTAAGGTCAAACTTGTCATAAAAGTATGTTCCATTAAGGATCAAAGCATCTCACCGACGAATGTGATGCAGTAAATGATTTGTTCTTTTTTTAATTTGAGATTTTAAATTCGAATTTTAAATATGAAAAAACATTTTAATATAGAATATTTCTTTTTGAATGAAATTCTGTACATGCTAAATTCGAACTAATCGAGTTTTAATATAAATATTAAATACCAAATATCGAATAAAATGAAATAATTAAGAAAATTAAAATTGTGATTCCAAAGCACACATTTAAATAATAAATTAGAATAACGACTTCATATCGCATGGTCAAACACAAACTAAATTTAACCTATTTTATAAGAATCTACGAACGAAAATAAATTAAATATCTATATTTCTACAAAAAGGTAGGGAACATAAAAAAACATTTTCAGTAAATAAAGGAAAAAAACATGGCAACACAAATCAGAGACTAAATAAAACAAATATATATTTGAAAAAATGAAACTTGAAGAGGAAGAATTCATCATTTTGAAAAGAGTGTTTGTTTTAATGGCAAACATATATGGGTCCATAGGGCATAATCATTATTAGTTTTTAAAAAGAAAAAATAATTTTTTGATATGAAAAAAATTATTCATTTTTTTTAATTAATTATAGTTTAAAGTAATGCACCCCATTCTTTTTGCTTAAGATGACAATGAAAATTATTTGTGTGAATAGCTCACACATTACACTTATTTTAAATTATATACAGTATATAACATGAATATTATCTTATTTCATGGGAAAAAAATTCCCTCCATACCAAACCAAAATATCTAAAAGGCATATGAAACTGACTGATAAAAGAAAATGAATTTTAGTCTGGTTAAGTTCCACCAAAGTGGAAAAAAAAAATATATTAATACAACATCTTATTAATTTAAAAAACAATAATAATGAATATTTTACTCTTTGCAAATAATGTATATTCCTTTCCCTTGTCACAATTGGGCCTTGAAATCTTTTTTTTGGGCTTTTTACACCCATGACCTGCTTCCAACTGATGGGCTTTGAAACTTTGGATTCACTCTTCTCCTTTTGGGCTTTCCACAAACACATTGACATTCATAACCATAAAAGTTGCCAAAACAAGAAAAAAGCCCACTCCCACCATCAGTATGCCTTCTCGTGTGCCGGCCCGTTGAATGATAGCTACTCGACGCCATCCCCCGGTCGTATAATGGCGGTAGTTCGGTTCTCCACCTCTCGAGCTTCGACCGGAGACCTTCGACGCTTTCATCTATACTCCAACCATCCAAAACAGAACTCTTTTCCTCTTCTAAAGGATATTTCTTTTCAGCAATAGCAGCAGCCACTTCAGAAGGTGAAGGCCCAACTTCAGAATCAGACCATACTGAATGGGCCTTTAATGGGCCTCCAAATACAAATTTCCCATTTTGCCCTTTTGGGCCTCCATAATCAAATCCACCATTATTTCTCAACATGGGCTTTCCAATAACTGGTGTTTGTCTCTCTTTTGGGCTTACATCATGGCCCAAATTCTTATTGGGCTTTATTGTAATGGACTTTTCATCAACTACCTTAGTCGTCGGTGAATCGGTTCCGGCCTTCTTTTCATTAATGGGCTTTTCTTTATCCCCAAATTCTAACTCTATAAGTTTGAGTTTGGGCTTTTCATCTTTGGGCTTGGGCCTATAATCTTTGGGCTTGGGCCTATGAAGATAAGAAGATGATTCTTTACTAACAATTGAATCACTTAATACTGATCCAGATTTACCTTTTTTATTGTTTGTTTTGGGCTTTTCTCTTAATTCTGCACCACTTATAACAGAACTTGCTTTGCCTTTTTTCTTCATCATATGTTTTGGTGGCTCAAATGAAATACTAAGTATTGAACTCTCTTTTTCAACAGCCACAACTTTTTTTTTGTGGGGAACTGCTGCAACTAATGAACTATTGGCCATCGAGCCGCTATCGAACGCGACACGTTCACTACGCTCACTCCTTGTACGACGTAGCATAGGTTTTAACGCAGTGGCATTGTTGTTGTTGTTGTCGTCCTTCTGAGCCTCTAGGGTTTTTTGGTCGTAGTTGGGTAGATGTGCATCTTCATCCATTAAATCGCGATATCCAACTGCTGACATACTTAATTGTCTATATAGTTGCATGCTTCTCATAGTACCACCAAGTAATGTCACACCAATGTTTAATATTCCTTGAGGACGCCCTGAGGGACGACGTATCTATATCCCAAAAATAAACAAACTTTTAAATGCTAGTTTTGCACATATTTATTCAAAGAAATTGTGAGTTATTGTCAAAAATCATCATACAACATACACAGTTTCAATTTGTTTGTCTAATTTTTCTGACATGAAGCTATTAAATACACAATGAAACATATGACAAAACTAATGAAATCTCACTTTTAAAAAAAAATATGAAATTTCAAAAATGGTATATTTAAAACAAATTTAAATAAAATGAACATCAAACAATAGAGATGGGAGAATATTGGACATATTACATTCCACAATTTCATCTATAAAAATATATGATTTAGAAAAAATTATAGGGATAATTTCAGAAACGAAGATTGAAGAGATGCATGCATGCATGCAACGTTCCTATTTCACGTAAACAGATATTCACAGAAAGATCAAAATATACTCGAAAGAAACAAACCTGAAGTGCAACAAAACGCATACCAATATGGTGTTGTTGATGTTGCAACCTAGTCGGAGGAGGGATAAGGTTTCCAACGAGGACACGAACGGACCCCACAAGCGAATCGCGGAACCAATGTACCGAAAAAATGTCAATTTGTACCGCAGAAGTATCCTGTTGTAAAAATTCATCATCTACCCGAAAAACAAACTTATCATTCCACGTGGGGTTGTTACCACCATCATTATCAACCCCTG